AATTAGCTTTCCTTTCTTATTATACCCTTGCAGAGGGTATTATAATTTTGTCCAAAAGTGTGCAACGCAGTGAAGGAGACATCTCCGACCCTATAAAGTATATATATTCTTGATCAGGATCACCTCCTGAGTTGATATGAGCATGTCCGTCTGTCCGTCTGTCTGTCCGTCTGTCTGTCTGTTTCTACGCGAACTAGTCTCTCAGTTTTAACGCTATCGACTTGAAACTTTGCATACACCCTTCTTTCCTTTGCACGCAGTATATAAGTCGAAACGGCCCGGATCGGCCGACTATATCTTATAGCTGCCATATAACTGATTGATCGGAAATGGTATAACTTTGGTGTTTTTAGAGTTAGAGAAATCAAATTTTACATGAGATCTATTTGTGGCAAAATAATAAGACCTGCCAAATTTCGTAAGGATCGGCCGACTTTATCCTATAGCTTCCATATAACTGAACGATCGGAAATGACCAAACTTTCGTGTTTTTAAAGATAGAAAACTGGAACTTAGTACAGATTTTATTTTAGGATCGGCCGACTATATCCTATAGCTGCCATATAACTGAACTTTGAACCGTTCACCATTCCGTAACCGTAACCATTCTTTTGAACCGTACTCCAGTATCGGACTGATCAATGAAATGAATAATGTTTTGGTTATGTACGGGTCATTAGGTCAGTACGGGTCAGTACTCCTTATTCACCCTTGAGAAAATTTGGTCAGCAAATTGAAGCTTAATGTCTAATAGGACGCCGAGATCATTAATCTGATCCTCTAAGGCAATCCCATTAATAGAATACGTAGCTTGCAGAGGGCAAGAACGATAAATACGTACGCTTGCATTTTGATTCATTAAGTATTAGATCATTAGCTAAACACCGTTTTTGAAAGTTATCAAGGTCAGACTGAAGACTGCATTGGGCAGAGATGGATTTGTATTGAAGAAAAAGCTATACATCATCTGCATACATAAGAAATAGAGAGTTCGTTACAGCAGGGGGCAAGTCATTTATAAAAAGCGGAAATAATAACGGGTCAAGATGGCTTCATTGAGGGACGCCAGATGTAGCATGGACCAGACGGGACTGTATGTTTTTAATTAAGACTCTTTGTGTCCTTCCATCTAAGTAGCTGGAGATCCACGTTAAGAGGTCTGTAAAGATTTCCAACATATTCAGTTTACTCAACAAGAGTGAGTGATCGGAGTCACTGAATCAAATGCTTTACTAAAGTCTGTGTAAATTACATCGGTTTGATATCTCTTACGAAAGCTATCTATGACAAACGATGTCAACTTTAACAAGTTCGTGGTGGTGGAGCGACGCTTAATAAAGCCATGCTGACAAGGAAAGATGATCGAAGAGCAAAGGTGTTGCAGATGGGGAGTAACTAATTTTCATACCCTTGCAGAGGGTATTATAATTTTGTTCAAAAGTGTGCAACGCAGTGAAGGAGACATCTCCGACCCTATAAAGTATATATATTCTTGATCAGGATCACCTCCTGAGTTGATATGAGCATGTCCGTCTGTCCGTCTGTCTGTTTCTACGCAAACTAGTCTCTCAGTTTTAAAGCTATCGACTTGAAACTTTGCACACACCCTTCTTTCTTTTGCACGCAGTATATAAGTCGGAACAACCGGGATCGGTCGACTATATCCTATAGCTGCCATATAACTGATTGATCGGAAATGGTATAACTTTGGTGTTTTTAGAGTTAGAGAGTTTTCTAATTTTACATGAGAGCTATTTTTGGTAAAACAAGAAGACGTGATAAATTTGATAAGGATCGGTCGACTATATCCTATAGCTGCCATATAACTGAAAGATCGGAATTGACCCAACTTTTGTGTTTTTGAAGATAGAAAGCTGGAACTTGGTACAGATTCTAACTGCAAGGATCCGCTTTTAACTGCAAGGGTATATCAACTTCGGCTCCGACCGAAGTTAGCTTTCCTTTCTTGTTTAAAATAACTTTAAAATTGCCGACAATTTAGAGATGCCTCTGTAATTGGCGGCATCGGACTTTTTCCCTTTTTTATGAATGATTCCTTCCACTTAAGGAGAAATACCGAGGCTTCCAAAGTTAAGTTGAAAAGTCTAAGAAGGGGTTTGCACAGAACCCTGGCGCAGTATTTCAGCACACAGCCTGGTACTCCACCAGGGCCTGGCGAATAAATGGGTTTGACCTTTAGAAGATCACATAATAAGTTGTTCTCAGAAAAAAACGGACAGAAAATAAGATTAGCTGATTTAACGTTGTATGTGTAAGGCTGATCTGTCAATTTAGGCGGAGAATAAGTTGTTTGAAAAAATTCTGCGAATAGATCGGCAATGGCCTGATCAGAGGTCGCAGATGAATTTTCAAACGTAAGCTTCACCCCTGCTTCACCCCAAAGATACATGTTTACCCTTTGCGTTTACAAAATTATATAACTGCTTCGGATCCTGAGTAAATTTTATCCGGCAGCGACAAATATAATTGCTGTAACATTCAGCGTTATTCATTCGTTAACATTCAAATTTGACCGAACTAGTAGATATCTTGAGAAATCAATACTACTGCAGGTAGTATATATTTCATATTTTATATTTTAGGAAGACCCTATTTATAGTATTTTTTAGGTTAGTGAGGCACCTTGTAAGCCAAGGAGGATTTGTTGAAGCGGACGGATATTTCCGTGGCACACAGGAGTCAAATAATGTATTTAAAGTACAGTAAAATTTTTCTAAGGTGCCAATAAGATCGATGCATGCCAGAATATCGGACCAATCATAAGTATCCATATGGGTATTAAGTTTGTGAGAATCACCTTTACGGAAACAGCGAATCTTATTTGCCACTCATGGAGGCATCTGATCGATACCAGGAATGGTGATATGGATTCTCTGGGGTTGAAAGGGGGAAAGCTCTGGAGAGAGCGGAACCATCGAGATCAGATATAAAGCATAAGTCTAAAAGCCGACCTAACAAATTTCTAACTTGGTTAATTTGACCTAGGGGCATGTCAAACGTGCCCGCAGTGAAGTCATGGTGAGTGATAAGTGATAAAGATGGTGAGTTATCGACGTTGGATCACTTCCAAAAGTGGTGTTCTTACTTAAAAAAACTTCGGAGTTAAGATCTCCGGCTTTAACCAAGTTTTTGTAAGGGCTATAATATGGGATGCAAAGAAAGAACTATCAGAATATAGTTTGGGGAGTTTGCTACATAACCTCCTAGTATTCTGATAGGTTAGTGACGATATTGGTTTTTTTGGTTAGTGGACGAAGATGAGGTGGAGAAGTTGGTTCTATTGTGGAGTAGTTTCACTCCCACTGGTTTTAAATTTTTTTTTTCACGGAACTAGACTGACGTTCTTGGCCGAAAATGTTCTCTGGCCAAAAACTGGGTGAACAAATCGTCTTAAGCATCAGACAGGAATCTTGAAAGAAGATGTGCTTCTTACACAATTATATTTAAATTTCCCTATGTCCTCTACCTTTATATCGGCTTTAGTTTTGGCTTTGATGTAAGCCGACATATCAATCTCTGAAGTATCAGGCGCAACCCGAGAAACATATATTTGTTTCGATGGAGGAATCACCGGTTAGGGTTCTAGTGTCGCAGGTACGAGAACTGCAGCATTAGTCGGAGCCGGTGGTCCGGACTGTGGAATGGATGACTCTGGTGGTATCTCTTGAAGCACGACTATTTTCACAACAATGATGTAAACCAGACCTTCGGGAAATGGCATCCGAAACAGAGGCAGGGAACAGCGCACACTTGGCGTGTGCGACGTTTTTACATAGTCATGAGGAGATTGTCGTGTTACAAGACTTCATAGAACAGACCAGTTTAAATTCGTTATTATTAATAAACAAAACAAAAATAAAAAAGTTAAAAGTTAAAAAGTGGAGAGTGCAAAGGAAAAATGTAGAAATAGAGATAAAACGGGCAATAGGCAGAGCTATGCTTGGAATTGAATTTAAACAAATAATTAATTCGCCTCCGAATATACCACAGCACACGCGAAGCGATACGGTTTAAGTAAAAACTTAAGATTCTTAATAAATTGGATCCACAAGCGAGTAAGCACAAGTTTACCAATGTTTATAAACGGAATATTTTTATAAACGCATTGCGCACAAAAAAAACACGACCGTTCGCTTAAGAGGAAGAGAGAGATAGAAAGCATGAATTGAATGTTCGAATTGAGTTCAGGAACAAGCTAGAATCTGGATCCGTGCCGATAAGTAAGCCGTTCAATGGTTCAGGTGGTGTTTCAATTTCTGGTAGTTGCACTTTTCTTGAGAGCGTTTCAGAGCATGACAATGCGGACATTCCTTGTCCATAGCACCAATTAACACTTTTGAGTGAGCATAATACTCAATATCAGTGTTGAGGTCGGGGCGAGGTCGGTGCACGATTTTTTAAGCAAACATGGATTTGGTTATTCTTTCCTTTATTTTAACTCAAATCATGGCGCGCGAGCTAAAAAACTTCGTCGTTTTCCCTCGCCTCGTTAGCTTTACCTCGTTCTTCCGCCATTTTTCCGTATATCGATAAGCTTACGTCTAGCGTTTTTCAAAACTTATTCTAAACATAATTCAACACTAATTTTAACGATTTCATTTTTCAAATATAAACTTAATTCTATGACGGCGGTAACATTCCCTCCCCCGTAATTGATCCCGATCCGTGGTCAGTTACCATTCTCCAAGCCGACGTCCAGAACTGCTACCTTTGTTGCTGGTCTTTCTATAGCACCATGCTGCGTCTTGATTGTCACCCGCCGAACTTGTCCATCGTTGGCCATCACTGCGTCAGTCACGCGTCCTTTTAGCCACAGGTTCCTGGGAAGAAGCTCATCCACGACTACGACGATGCTTCCGATGGTGATTGGAGGTACCTTCTCAAACCATTTGGTGCGCCTGGTTAATACGGGTGCATACTCCTTAACCCATCGTTGCCAAAAGCGGTCTTCGAACCGTGAGTCTCGTTCCATCTACGCTTCAGATTCCCTCTTTTGGCAGCGGCTTGTATCCGTTTGCTGATCCTAGCAGCAGGTGGTTTGGAGTCAGGGCAGCGTCATCCTCGGAATCCAAACTTACGAACGTGAGAGGTCGCGAGTTGATGATAAATTGCGCCTCCATCAGTGCGTTTCTCAACCCCTCGTCGTTGAAAGAGTAACTTGGGCAAATGTTCTTCAAGATTCGTTTCGTTGTCCTGACGAGTCTCTCCCATGCTCCACCCATGTGCGGTGCTCCTGGTGGGTTGAATCGCCACTTTATGCCGTCGAATTTAATAGTGATCTTATCGTGCTCGATCTTTTTCAGCTCCTCGCGCACGGCTTTTTCCGTGGCTCTGAAATTCGTACCGTTGTCTGAGAATATTTCCCTCGGTGTCCCTCGAAGGTCCATAAAATTGGCTAGGCACATGATACATGAACTAGTATCTAGACTGTAGGCGATCTCAAAATGCACCGCGCGCAACGTAAGACAGGTGAACAGAGCTACCCATCTCTTCTCTTTGCGCCGGCCGACGTTCACCAATAACGGGCCAAAATAGTCAACGCCTGTATAGGTGAACGGCCTCTCGAAGCTTCCAACTCTTGCCCTCGGGATCGGTGCCATCTGGGGTGGTCTGGGAACTGCTCTGTCGATCTTGCATTGTTGGCATGTGTTTCGCACAGATTTGTGCAGTACTCGTAGCCGGCTGATATAAAACGAATTTTTGATGTCATTTATTACAGTTTCGTGAGCGAGATGGTGATACTTTTCGTGGAAGCTCCTAACTATGAGATTGGTTATCCGGCATCCATGAGCTAGTATAATGGCGTCCTCAGCTATGTCAACTGCGTTCAATCTGCCTCTTGTTCGTAGTACTCCATCGTTGTCCAGGTACGCGTTCAATCCGGCCAATCTGCTTCCCTTGAGGAGCGCCGTTCCCGCGGATAACATTTTTAGTTCTGCTGCGAAGGCGATGGATTGAGATTGCTTGTATAGCAGCATCTTTGCCTTGCCCACATGAGCCATTGTCGTGGTTGCTGGCATGTCTCGTCCGGCACATTTCGCTCGCAGCCGATCAATGAACAGGAGTACTAGCGCCCCTGCTCTGTATAACCGCCGCCAATTTGAGAAATCGTGTGCGTTGAACATAATCACTGATTTCGAATGCGTCGTCATCACATGCTTCCGGATCTCCGAGGTATCGTTGATGCTCTCCTGCTTCTTGGATATTGGCCAGTGGCTCGCATCGGTCTTCAGAAACTCCGGGCCCGTTATCCACGTCTCTTTTTGGGTTTGCCCGGTGACCTTGGTAGCTCCATCTGCTACGTTCAGCTTTAAAGGAATCCACCGCCATTGCTCGACCAGTGTTGTTTCCAGAATTTCGGCGACTCTGTGCATCACGAACTGATGAAAGTTGCGGGGGTCCATAGTTAGCCACTGCAACACTGTCTTGGAGTCCGACCAGTATGTGGCGTTGTCAATTCGTTGGTTGCGTGTGCTCATCACATTTTGGGCTAAGCGTGCTCCCATAACTGCTGCCTGCAGCTCCATATACGGAATCGAAAGTGGTTTTAAAGGTGCCACCTTAGATTTCGCCATTACCAAGGATACGCCAACTCTGTCATCCGTTGCCACGCGTAAGTAGCAGACTGCAGAATATGCTTGCTCGCTGGCGTCGACGAATGTATGGAGTCCAATTTGACATGGCTCCGATGTGGGTGGGGAAAAGCATCTAGGGACCTCGAAAGTCCTTATGTCTTGCAAAATGGTTTTCCATTGGTGCCATTCTTCTAGAATCTTCTCAGGTAGCTCTTGATCCCATTCAATTTTTTGCCGCCATATACACTGGAGGAGTATCTTTAGTCCGATCGTTTGGCATGATAAAAATCCCAATGGATCGAAGATCGACATCAAAACTTGTAATACTTCCCGCTTGGTAGGGACTACGTTTTCCGCCAGCACATCACGCTTCAGCCTTGCAAATTTGCAGATAAATTTGAACATATCATTATGTGGGTCCCAGAACATGCTAAGTATCTTTTCTGTTGCACAAAAATCCACGGGCTTTTGGGTTCCAACGTTGCCATTATCCTGCAAGCTTTCGAGCACTTCTTCCGAATTCGACGACCAGTTACGGATCTCGAATCCGCCTCTGCGATGTACTTCTATAACTTCTCTGGTGATCTGGATGGCCTCCTGTTCGTTCCTCATGCTATCGATGAAGTCGTCAACGTAGTGCGCCCTTTGGATTGCGTTTAAGGCCAATGGGAACTCTTCTTGGTGGGTTTCCGCGTTCTTGTCTCGAACGAAGTGCGCTATAAACGGCGCGCAGCTAATCCCAAAAGTCATAGCTCGCATGACATATGTATCAACTTTGTCGCTGCCTTTGTCATACCACAAAAATCGCTGTGCATGCATATCCTCCTCGCGAATGTTGATCCTGTGAAACATTTCCGCAATGTCGCCGCAAATCGCTATTTTATTGACCCGAAAGGCTAGCAAGACGTCTATGAGTGGGTTCAGGCAATCTGGTCCCCTGAGTAAGTAGTCATTTAGCGCGTATCCGTGTGCCTTTGCGGCTGCATCCCATACGAGCCTTATCTTTTTCGGCTTGTTTGGATTCAGCGCTATGAATATTGGCAGATACCATGTACGGCTGTTCTCCCGGCTGGTTTCTTCCTCGGATAGCTTAACCGCGTATCCTTTGTCTAGAAGGTTCCTGATTTGGGCGTCAATTTTTTCGTACTGATCTGGTTCTTGAGAGATCTTTTTCCTCATGCAGGTAAGCCGCTTCAGAGCGTTACTCCGGCTCTCAGGGAGTTTGTCGATACCACCGCGCCACGGAAGTCCAACTTCATATTTTCCGGACTTATTTTGGCAGGTGCTTTCCAGTATCTTCACTGCCAGCTCATCTTCAGCTGAGTGCAGCTTTCGTGGTACGAGTGCGTCCAGGTTGAAATGTTCCTTGATGTCATCATGGAGTTCTTGCCAGTCGCAGTCGCAGTGGTGCATGAAAATGGATCGTTGTGGGTTCGCCGATCCTTGGATGCTCCGTCCTAGCATGCACTTCGATGCTATCGGCTCGTTCCATTTTCCTTCGCGGATCTTGCGAGGGACTGCTAGCTTCCAATTGTTGGTTCCGATTAGCAAAGTCGGCTGGGCAGAGTAGGACCGTAGCGGCAAGTCTTTCAAATGCTGGAATCTGTCGCATAGCTCCTTCATGTTGACTGTCTGTCTCGGTAGTGCTAGGTTCTGAACGGTCTGGACGTTGTTCAACCAGTAAACCTTATCGCAGTTCATTTCCGAGATTTGGACGGATGCCTTTACGGATCCACTCTCGAGTCGAGTCGTCTCTGCGGTCCACTGCAAACACATTGGCGCTGCCTGGCCTTGTATTCCCAGTCTTTGGAATACAGATGCATCTGCTAAGGTCACGGATGATCCTTCATCTAGAAAGGCGTAGATCTCAGTCTGCCTGCTGCCGTAATGCAGCTTGACTGGAATGATGCGAAAGAACTGACTTCCGTGGTTGTCGTCTCTGTGCGTACTCACGTGACTCTGTGGTCTGTCTTGGCCGATTGTGTTTGGAACATATTCTGTATGAAGTAACTCATGGTGTCTCCTTGTACAGCCGTTAATTCCACAGTTCCCGGTTCGGCATCTATTCCGGTGTACCTTGAGGCAGCAGAAACAGGCTTTACCCTCTCTGATTACCTGCCACCTGTGCTCCGCGTCAAGGTTCGAGAATACCTGACATTGTGCTGGGTTGTGACTCGGGTCGCCGCAAGCTACGCATCTCTGTTGAACTTGCTGCTGAGCTGCTTCCGTATGGATCGCGTTCGATCGTGCTTGTCCTCGTGCTGGTCCAGGCTCATCTGCCACTCCCTTGTCCGGGCGGCGACTGTTGTGGGAATTAACTGCGCCCGTTTTGTAAAACGATGGCGCCATTACTAGTGACGCTGCCTCTGCGATTTTATACAGCCAATCACTGAATGCCTTGACTGCGGCCACTCTATCGTCGCGGGGTTGCATTGCCCAGTTTAGCTTGTGTTGGTTGGGAAGCTTATCTACCAGCTCCTTGACCAGCATTGGATTGTTGAGATACGCCTTCAAATCGCACGCCTCCATAGTGGCACAGACGTTTCGCACTGCCAGCGCGTACTCTATTAACGCCTCCAATCTGTCTTTGGGTGGTGCCAGTCTTCGCACCTTTTCCACCATTCTTTCTAGGATGTGCTCTGGTCTGCCGAAGAACATCTTCAAAGTACTGATGACTTCTGGGACTAGGTTAGGAAGTAGGAGTTTATCTCTAACCAAGTCACGAGCTTTCCCTTTAAGCGACTTTTGCAGACGTCGCATGTTTTCCACATTCGTATATCCCGCTGCTGTCGTACTATGTTCAAATGTGCTGATAAATAACGGCCAGTCCTCAGGATCCCCGCTGAATGTTAGAAGGTCCTTGGGTATAGCTTGCCGGGCCGCTATTTGAGTACTTGTAGGTGAATCTGTGGCTCGAAACATCCCAGCTACCGCTACGTCAGCGGGGTTCATCTGCATGAGAATTTTGTACTTTTCTTCTATGAACTTTGCCTCAGACTTTCTTTTCTCCTCGAGCATATCTAACAAGAGTTGGTTCTTGTTCGTGTCCGGATTGCCTTCCCGAACATTCATGTTCTCTCCGTTGCCGGCAGCATCGATTAGCGTATCGACGGCTAGCGCTTTGCTGTGCGGTTCTGGGGTATCCATTGCGTCTTCACGTGTTTGAGACTGTACTGGTGATCTTTTGCATACCGCTGAACGGTGCTATGTGGCTGCAACCCGCAAGACAGTAATCGCAACTCCAATCCTTGCTCTCAATGTTGTCCTCTACGCCGGCACACTCGAAATGGTACCACCTTCCGCAAACGTCGCACTGTACCCAATTTTCTGACGCTGTTTCGTTTTTGTCCTCGCAAATTCTGCACACTTCAACGTTCATGCTTTGCGTCGTCCGGCGTGCTTGCAATATGGCGTCTGCTTTTCTTCTTCTTGGCTGCCTGCTTACTCGACCTAGCCTGTGGCTGCTAGGGACGCGACGCCTTACCTCTGCCTTTATCCGCAAGAGTTCTGGTTTTCCCCAAGAATGGCGTGCTCAACTCGACCTAGCCTTGGCTGCTAGGGACGCGACGCCTTCCCTTTCGTTCCTTCCAAAATTTGTCGCCTCCTGTCGGTCCAGCTGTTGTCTGCTAGCGACGCGACGCTGTTTTTTCTGCCTTAATCCGCAGGTAACGAAGTTTTGGAGGAAGTTTTTTAGAAATGTTGAGGTCGGGGCGAGGTCGGTGCACGATTTTTTAAGCAAACATGGATTTGGTTATTCTTTCCTTTATTTAAACTCAAATCATGGCACGCGAGCTAAAAAACTTCGTCGTTTTCCCTCGCCTCGTTAGCTTCACCTAGCGATCGCAAACGCCTCGTTCTTCCGCCATTTTTCCGTATATCGATAGGCTTACGTCTAGCGTTTTTCAAAACTTATTCTAAACATTATTCAACACTAATTTTTTTTTTTTCACTAAAAACAAAAAACGATTTCATTTTTCAAATATAAACTTAATTCAATGACGGCGGTAACAATCAGGCTCATACTGGAATGCTAGACGCAGGAATGAATCAGATATAAATGCTCGATGTACCTGTTGTCGTTGTTGGTCATTTGTTCTGCGTCTTGTGACTGTGAAAAGGCGTGATTGTTGTTGTTTTAATCTTCTGACTTCATTGCGTTCAGATCGTGTATCTTCTGGCTCTTCTTGATGCAATTGCGCTATTCAAACACGTAGATCAATATTTTGTTGCTGGATTTGTTTTTAAGTTCTTTCGGATCTTCTATTTCGCATGTTTCGAGATCTACTTGTATCACGGCTCAAATCACCCCCTTTGCTAATACCAGTACATAAGACTTTGGGAAAAGCGTTATAACTTCAACAATTTTCATAATTTCCTTATGAAATTGGTCTCGTTTTATTCACAATTAACGTGCAACTTGGAAGTTGTACCGAAAAAATGGCGTCAAATTCCGAAAAACACGACAAAAATTCAAAAATGTCAGTTTATTGCGTAAAAATTGTATCCTTTTTGTTGAAATAAATTAAAGATCTATTTTTTTTTTTTCAAAAGCTTCAACATTTACCTATTGTAAAACGAAAAATTTAAAAATTTTTAAATCGTTTTAAAATTACGTGCATAGGAATTTTTAAGAGCAAAAAAGTCCCGAAACCCCGTTTTTTCTAAATATATCAAGATTTTGAGGGTGTTAGAAAAATTTTAAATACGGTTTTATACTATATTCGACCTAATAAACAATTCCTACTAGGTCTCTTTAAAAGTTCCTCCAAATTTTTTTTTGTCGCACTGTGATAATAGTCTTGCTGGTCGTGCCCCAAAGTTAGATCCCGTATGTCCAAATTGGTCGTATAATCGCCTAGTAGATTAGGATTTTCGAAGAGGTCCTCAGCTTCGACCCCATCCTACTCATGGGGTTCCATCCTACCCATCCTTCTACCCATCAGCCAATAGTACGCCTTAAATCTTACTTCACACTGCTTTCGCTTTTTGACTAGCTGACTTCTAAGTAAGCCTATTGTCTAGCGTGGGCTTTCTACCTGCTGGATGGATTTTTCCTGGACGGTAAAAAATGTGGTGGCGGTGGATTTATCGTTATTCACTTGAATATTCCACCTTCTCAGCCAATTGCCGAGAAGATCTAGTTGCTCCTGCACGACAGCAGATGCCTCTGTAGCGTTGTCAGCAGCGGCCAGGAAGGGGCAATCGTCTGCATAGGTGGCTGCCATTATGTTGGGGCTCCGCAAGAATGGGAGATCGGCCGTGTAGACATTGTATAAGAAAGGGCCCAGCACGCTGCCTTGGAGGTCTCCGACGCGGTCCTCCCTGAGTCTGGAAATGGCCTCTCCGCATCTGACCGCAAATACGAATACAAAAGTATTTATGTTTTTTTTCTAAACACATAATAAGATTGATAGGTCTCAAAATATATAAAAAAAAATTTTTTTTTTAGATTTTTTTGTTCTATTTAATCGTTGTTTTGTTTTACACATAGCTTGTATATGTAGTCTTGGCCATCTCGGCATCTCATCTGTACAATTTTTTCCAAGTGCTTAGGTGAGGGGCCGTTGTGCCGCTCAGCTGAACTTAAGAGCGCATCCGCGCTGAAAAGCGCACCCGAGCACCCGCGCTTAAAAGCTCATCCGTGCTGAAGAGCGCATCCGCGCTCGCCCCTCTATGCATTCTCCCTCTCTTGTCAGCCGTCGGCGATCGTCCGCTCTGGTTTATATTTACGTTTAGCGTTTATGCTTTCTAAGTTAAGGTCATTATCCAATTTAAGCAGCCCAATAAAGCTGAATGCGCTTCTTGTAAATTAACTAAAGACGCCCCTGACTTCTCATTTCATCTACTCCTGGAATCTTTTGCGGCAACAACGCCCCCCTAAAACACCAAGCGAACGAATGAGTTTAATAAATACCCAAAACCTTATCTCTTTATTAATTGTTAGGCTGTACTGCCAATAAGTATAATAAAAGAAAGATTTAAAAAAATATATTTTGTAATTCAAAAAGTTAAAGTTTGAAACTTTTTGAATTGACTTTTTCGGTTAATCGGTCTTCTGTTAAGGTCCTCTGTTCGGACGTCAATCATATCTCTCTGTGAGCTATGTTCAGTAGAATCGCATTTTACTAATCTCTCAACGTAAAAAAAGGTTAACAGTTATTTGCGAGCTATGGTTTTTAAACAGCGAAAATGATCGATGCACTGAGAATCGATTTTTTCCCATCTCTACTCTGGAGAGTCCTACAGCCCAATAGCAGTAGAGTCTACAAGACGAACAGGACCGGATTTGTAGATGACCAAGAGGCTTTAAAATAATAGTTTCTATAAAGTTCTATGCTATTTGTATAATTTCTGGGCTCGGGAAATCACTTCGAACAATAAATTCAGTCGAACAAACCAACAAACGTTGTCGCGTTGTCCCGTACATTTGGCGAGATTTTTGTCATTTTTCGCTGATTTTTACATAAGTAAGTCAGTATACCTATCAAGAGTAATAATAAGGTACACACTGTAACAATTTATTGCAGTGTTTATATAATTCAAAGTCCAGGTCATAAACCCAAGTTGCCAAAATATGAACCAATCGCTATGTCTTAGCCCGCACACAGAAAGTGCTAGCGTCGGCATAATTGTAACAGGAACGGACTACATGTGTATATACCATTGCTGCTCCCCAAATTAATAAAGAATAAAACCAATACAAGTTGGCATGTCTTTTGGTTGGCGGACTCTACCTTACATTATGGCGACGGTGACTACAGCTTTACCTGTAAACTGTAAACTTTACCTGGAAATGGTGGCAGAACACAAAAAAAATCTGGACAATTTTTCGAAATTCGAGCAAACAAATAAATCTGAGTGAGTGAAGATGGAGCCATGGCGAAAAAAGGGGGCGTGGAAAACAAAACTAATAAAAGAATAGCGCACAGTAAGTGGCTATTATTTAAAAATGAACCACCACCCCCTTGGGCAACAGTAAAAAATTGCAAGAAGAGCTCGCCCGTAATGGAATGTAATGAATTATATAAGGAAATAAATAACATAAATGTTGACTTTGACAAATAAAATAAGTCACTTACTCAAAACAGGCCAATACAAAAGAATATTATCAAGAAACAGGAAATATTAGTAGAATGCCTAAATGAAGCACGAATACTAATAAATGGCCAGAGGGAAAAATTAAATCAAGATCATTGGTCCCAAGTAAATTAAAATTCCAACAAAAGTAAAAAACAAATTTAATTTAGATATATCAGTATCAACTGTACTTAACACTTATCTAACAGTTGAAACTAGTGATGAACCGGAAGTAACAGAACCAACTGACATTGAACAAATAGAATCAGAAGAACTAAAAGATAGATAAGAAGATAAGCCCTAAAATAGAAGAGCAAGATTAAAATAATCTTACTATTCCAGCTGTATTAATGTCAGATCTGGATAATTCTACAGATTCTGATGATACTTCAAGCATAATTAAAGAGAATATAAAGAATAAAATAAGCAACACTATTACAATGACACAATCTAATATTGATTTTATTAATACATCATTCAAGATTGTACCAATTCGATGGTAAGGCTAAAAATTTAACAAGTTTTATTGATGCATTACAAATAATAGAATCAATAAAAGGCGAGCAAGAACAGTTAGCATAATAACAAGAAAGGAAAGCTGACTTCGGTCTTAACCCTTGCAGTTAAAAACGGATATATATCGAATATATATTCGTTAAAAACGAATATAGTTGTCCGATCCTTATGAGAATATCAAAATATAGCCCAATTTATTATAATACAAAATCTAAAAAAGTAAAAAGATATAGTCGGCCGATCTTTATGCAATTTGGTAGGTCGGATTAACTGACAAAAATAATCTATACTAAGTTCCAGCTTTCTATCTTCAAAAACACGAAAGTTGGGTCATTTCCGATCGTTAAGTTATATAGCAGCTATAGGATATAGTCGGCCGATCCTTATGAAATTTGGGAGGTAGTATTATTTTGCCATAGCACTCATGCAAAATCCGAACTCTCTAACTCTAAAAACACCAAAGTTATACCATTTCCGATCAATCAGTTATTTGACAGCTATAGGTTATAGTCGGCCGATCTCGGCCGTTCCGACAAAGGAAAGAATCAACTCAG